GGCTAGTGTGAGCCGGCTCAGGGTTTTTTAGCCTCCGGCTCACCCATCTTTGCCTCGTCTCAGGAGAGGGACCGGGGCTCCAGAGCAGGCCGGAATGCAGGCAGCATCCAAGCCGGCTCGCTCATCCCATGCCTGCCAGCCGCTCACCCAAAAAGTAGGATTTGGGGGGATGCACTAAACAGGAAGGACACGAACTCGACCTGTCCCCTAATGTTTCCCGACGGAGCCCATGCAAGTCAGCGGGCCTTCCCGGCTCCCATGATTCCCAATGGGCCTTCCAGCGTCCCCCATTGCATCCAATGGGCAATCCTGTCCTTCCTTTGAGTACATCCCGGATTTTTGCTCGCAGGCCCCCCTCCACTGCCCTTCCCCAGATCTCTCCCCCCCCCCGCCCGATCCGCACGTCCCGCCTCATCCTCGTGGCTGCGGCTTCGGGGGTTCCCGCCCGACAAATCCGCGCCCCCTCCTCCTCCTCACAGGGCACGGAGGCTCCCCCTCCTGCCGCCGCCTCCGTGCCCACTTCCGGTTCCGGCCTCACGGACGACGGCATAGAGCTCCGGCGGCCAGACAGGACGGTAGAGGGGACTGCGCCGCCTTGCCGGGCGGAGCTGCGAGGGAAGAGGCGGCGGCGGGAGGGAGACGGCGGGGCGGCGCCACCTAGAGGCCGAGCGGCTGCATTACACTCCGAATGGATCCTTGCGCTGGAGGTAGATTCAGGTGGGCACATTGGGCTCTTTTTGTAGCGGGAACTTCTTTGCATATTAGGCAACACACCCCCAATGTAGCCAATCCTCCAAGAGCTGGCTACATTAGGGGTGTGTTGTCTAATAGGCAAAGGAGTTCCTGCTACAAAAAGAGCCCTAAGTCCCAGTGTTCCCTCTAAAGTTTAGTGTGAGCGAGCTCACAATTTTTTTAGCCTCCGGCTCACACGTTTTTGTCTCAGCTCTAAGTTGTGCAGCTTGGATAAATTCCGAAGTGTTTCACGTTCCCTTTTTTTCTAAATGGAAAGAAGAAGAAGAAGAGATTGGGTTTATACCCCGCCCTTCACTACCCAAAGGAGTCTCAGAGCGGCTTACAAACTCCTTTCCCTTCCCCTCCCCGCAACAGACACACTGTGAGGTCGGTGGGGCTGAGAGAGCTCTGACAGAAACGGCTCTTTTTCAAGGACAGCTCTTATCAGAACTATGGCTTGCCCAAGGCCGTCCAGCCAGGTGCAAGTGGAGGAGTGGGGAATCAAACCCGGAAAGCGGTGTAAATACCAGAACACTTAATTTTGTTGCCACTATTAGGAGACACGTCACTTGGCGCCAACGGAAGAAGAAGAAGAGCATTTATAACCTACCCTTCATTCAGAGTCTCAAAGCACCTTACAATCTCCTTTCCTTACCCCTCCCCACAACAGACACCCTGTGAGGTCGGTGGGGCTGAGAGAGCTCTTTCGAGGACTGCTCGTGAGAGAACAGCTCTGAGAGAACTTGTGACTGACCCAAGGTCACACCAGCCGCTGCATGAAAATAGAGTTCCGGGACGGCCATTTTTAAATAGCTGCTTGCAGACTGCTGCTTTTAAGTATGAATGTTCTAGTCCGGGGGTCCCCAGAGTGATGCCCGTGGGTGGCATGGCTCCCTTTCCAGGTGCCCGCCAAGTGTTTTTTAGAATGTGGGTGGGCCCCAGGTGTGGCTTTTGCCTAGCAAGGCTTCTGATCGGTCACTGAAGATTCAGTTGGCTGGGCAGATCTTTGAAAACATCGCTTTGGCAGCAGCTGCCACCACAGCCCAAGGATCTTCCCTCCTCTTGTGACTGAAGGTCAGCTGTGGTGGCCATTTTGTGGCTAGGCCCGCTGTGTTGTACCAGCATTCCAAAGGGCCCAGAAGCTCGAAAAAAGGTCGGGGACCCCTGTTCTACCCCTGTGAAGTAATTCAAGACTGGGCTGTCGGACATCCATTTAAAACAAAGACGCCGAAGAAAGCGGCAAGCGGAAGTCAAAAGGGTTAAATATTCTGGGAAGAAATTATAACAAAAATCAGATCCATAGACAATATAGACATCACTTCCACTCCGGAAAATCTCTTTTTGAACAGTTGGGTAGCTCAGGATTCTGCTCCTTCAGTGGTGGAGAGGGTTTCCATACTGCTATTTGCAGCCAAGACAGTCATTGCAACTCACTGGAAAACAACAATGACGCCCTCAATTTCACAATGGCATAAGAAATTGTGGGATTTATACATTATGGCTAAACTCTCGGATAATCTTACGCGACTTGACAAGATCCCAACTTCCTCATCCTTTGTTTCTATCTGGTTTCCTATATTGGAATACTTACAACAATTTGATGACACTCCTAAAGAAATTGATGCCTTACATCTCTGGTAACCATTGTATTTATACCAAAGTTTTGCAACAGTACATACGTTTGCTTACCTATTTCTACTGAAGGGTATTTGTTTACGTTCTTAATCATTAAGTTGGTTCTTTTATTTCTTAATATTTTATATATGTAATTTACAAAGATCACCAGTTACAGTTAGTAATCGTTGACTGTTATGCATACGAACACTATTTGTTACTGTTTTGCTTTACCAAACTATGTCTGTACACTTTTTTGTCAGCTATTCTTTGTATATCAATAAAATTTATTGTATAAGAAAAAAGGGTTAAATATGCACTGCTTTCCACGGTTCATTTCCCCACTTCCCGAGCATCCCAGATGTGTATTGTCGTATTTTGGCAGCCCAGGTGTTCAGCTTCATAAGCCAATCCGTTTTGGGAAGCCTATTCCCCTTTCCTGGGAACCCCAAGTGTGGTGTATTCAATCGGACCAAAGTATGTATGTGAACTCTGTCACTGAAACACCGTGTGAAGCTTTCATCCTGGGCTAGGATCCTAATCCCTCACTTGTCATTGGTAGCCCAGGAAGAACCGACCAATCACCAACAGCCAGTTCCAAGATTGTGATTGGACCTTATCCCTGCAACCTCATAGGTTGATATTGTATAATAGGGCGTGGCTACATTAGCCGGGAGAGTTTAAAAGTAGAACAGCTTCAGTGTAAAAGCTGTTCTGGCTATTCGTGTTGATCTGTTTGGAGGTGAGTTACGAGTTGCTGAATAAAGCCGATCTTTTGCTGAAATCACTCTCTGACTCTTTGTTAAGTAACCGACTTAACACCGAGGCAGGCTGGATCTGTACACCCCCTACTCACCCAAGACTGTCATGCTGTGTAAGTAAAGGCCTAGCAGGCCCAGGGAGCCTGAGTAGCAGTGGGAGGAGGCCAGGCCTACAACTCCCAGAAGTCCCTGAGAGGTTTTGGCACCAATTTTAGCCAATCACAGAGAAAGGAGACTTATAAAAGAGCTGATACAGAAGGAGAGCTGTTCTTTCTTCCAAGAGAGCGGGGTCAGAAGGAAAGCTGCTGCTGGGAGAGACCCTCACCTTGAGAGGAAGGGTGAGCCAGACTGAGGCCCAACTGAGACAGTGAACTAGGGACTGTGAGTCTAGTCGCATTAGTGCATTTGGTTTCTTTTCTCTTCACCCACTTGTCGTTATTGTTCTTGCACTTTGTTTCCCATACTGGGCTGGCCTCCTGCAAAAATAAACCTTTTATTTGTTGTTTACTCTTCCTGGTCCTCATGCCTATTATTCGGCCAAATAAGGGAGGTCTGAAGGTCTTGGGAGGGTGGCTCTGGGCCTTCTCAAGGGATCCTAAAACCAGAGTGGTGGCAGCGTCAGGTGACACCCCACCTGAGCTGTGACAAAGACTCACCAGATTGGCTCTAATTAGGGTTGCCGGGTCCCCTTGTCTTGCCAGCAGGGAGATCTGGGAGGCGTTCCAGGAGGGGGGGCGTGTCCCCAACATGCTGATGTCACCCAGAAGTGACATCATCGCATCGAGGGCAACACTCTTGTATTTGGATGAAACTCTATGGTAAGACCATAGACTTTTGCCCCAAAACCAGAGCGTCACTGTGCGATGTCCCCAACACAGTGATGTCACTTCCCATCGTAGCTAAAGGCCTGTGTGCAACCCGCCTTGAGTCCCTATGAGACTATAATGTCAAGAAATATTAAAAATATTTTAAAAAAACACACCAAAAACCTGGAAAACAAGGTGTGTGTTTTTCTTTAATTAAATTTTGAAAAGATCTTAAAAATGTATAACTTCCCTTCCGGCTTAGTACCTGAGGCCGTTCACAAACTAAAAACAATACACAACATTAAACATTGGTCTAAATACAGGTAACAAGGTTCTTGTTGGTGAGGATTGTCTACGGCAGTTGCTCCAGTGTCCTGGAATTGATCTCAGCTTATGGGGGCTTTTTCCGATTGTCAGAATGTTTCCGTACACTTGGATCTCATTTCACAAGAAGTAGTTTGAAATACTACATCAGAGCCGACTTCCCGTTAGTCATTTTGGAACCTTTTTGGAAACTCTTCATTTTGGAAGATCTGCATATGCAATTAAATATGGTGCGTCCCACAACAAGACCCTCCACGCCTTCACCAGCGATAGTCTTCTGATATATGGTGTTTCTCCCCATTCCACCCACCCCCTCACAGATTGCAGACATCTAGGCCCCAGGAACTTGAATCGACTTAATGAAGGCAAGCTGAAATTGGGATGAGAGGGTATATCCTGATGCCTGTGGCTCCCT